GGCTAGATGACCAGCTAGCTGGTAGCTATAACAAGTACTGACTTAGACTTGCTATTGGCACCCTAACAGCCCAGATTCCTGTTTACCTACACCCCGGACCCTGACAGCAGGGAGGTGGGAGCCAGATCTCTAAACCCCTGACCCTGATAGCAGGGATATAGAAGCCCCATTCGTCAAGAAATCGGTCGTTAGTCAGCTTGCTGTTGGTGCCCTGACAGCCCCAAATCCCTTTTACCCACACCCTGGACCCTGACAGTATGGAGGAGGGAGCTGGATACCTGCACCCCAGATCTTGACAGCAGGGAGGTGGGAGCACCATTCCATGTGGAATTGGCCATTGGTCAGTTTGCTGTCGGAACCCTGACAACCCTGAAACCCATTCGCCCGCACCCCGGACCCTGACAGGAGGGCGGAGGGAGCCAGATAACCAGATACCTGAATTCCTTTGCAATGCGCAAGAATTTGTGTACCAGGCCACTAGATACCGTATTTTTCGGACCATAAGACGCACCGGACCATAAGACGCACCAGTTTTTAGAGAAGGGAAATGAAGAAAAAAAGATTCTGAAACAAATAGTGTCCTAAAATATTTTATGTGCATTAAAACCCAATATCACAATCATAAACACATGTAATCAACCCTGTAAAGTAAACAGCAGCATTTAGAACCATTTTAGAGCCGGGCAAGCACACAGAGACCACACAGAGCCGGCAAGTAAAAAAACTTTTTTTTTAAAGTATATGTGTAGGCTATATTTAGACCATAAGACGCAGGGACTTTTTCCCCCCACTTCTGGGGGGGAAAAAGTACGTCTTATGGTCCGAAAAATACGGTAATTAAATTAACCAATGTTACTCCAACAAATTCAATAAAAAACAAAATAATAAAAATATGTTCATATATCCATAAGGAGATTCAAGTTCCACTTCCCTCAAAAATATTATCAGGGATTTGATCCAACATTACAGATCAATGATGCACAGCATTGACTTAGTAGTGTTAATTTGGTATTTAATTTTGTGGTTCTTCATTACATTAAACTTAAGCATTCTCAGATTTTATTGCATGCCCCAAGAATTAATATATGACACAATATACTGTGAAAATCCACAGTTGAGTTTAAAAGACTTTAAATGGCTTCAGTTATGTTCTCTACATTTAACAAATATACTCATAAAATCTGTATAGTTTTTACTGTGAACAGGAAACAGAACTTTCTATGATTATTTAAAGATTAAGTTTTCCCAACTTCTCTAACACTCTTCTTTATGTAGTTCCATATCCTCCAAGTTCTTAGAGGGGAATTCTAGAAAATTAGTTATCTCAGTGGGATAAGCCACCAGAAAGAGTTCTCATCTCTAATGCTTCCCATTACTTCAGAAGTCATGATCTCATTCTATTATTAACTTTCTTGGCATATAAAGACACAGGAGAAATGAAATCAGACTGGTGATTGCCATTTTTTTTTGAACCACTTAAGCAAGTCAGGTAATTTCTCTATGCCCATTTCCTCATCTACAATTTATCAAGCATGGACCAACTTATTTCTATAGGTTCTTTCAAATGTAAATAGATATGGGGAGGAGGATGTCACCAAGAAGATGACATGAAGCTCCTGAATTTTCCTCTTCCCACAGATGCACTAAATATACAATCACACACTGATCATTTCTCTCTGAGAGAAATTCCAAAACTAGTTGAGTGACTCTTACACATCAGGCGACTGAGAAAGTGCCCACAACCTCAACAAGTAGGAAAGTCTAAGATACACTTTGCCATTAAGTCCCACAGCACCATTCAATCTGAAGGAACCCTCAACTCCTAGTATCTCCCTTATTAGAGAAGGGGTTGGGTAAAAGCATACAAGCTTTTATTTATGAGATGAATAAGGTCTGAAGATCTAAGGTATAACAGTGTAACTATAGTTGATAGGACTGTATTATAGAATTAAAATGTGCTAACACAGTAGTACTTAGGTGTTTTCACACACACACAAAAAGGGAAATATGAGATATGATGTGTGAATTAACTCAATTGTGGAAAACCTTTAATAATGTGTATCAAATCATCACATTATATACTTCAAATATATTAATATTTTGTCAATTATACTTCAATAAAATTGAAAAAATAAATTAGTCCTGAAATAATTTTATATGAGAAAAGTATCCTATCTAATAAAAGGGTAATATCCAAATTGACCATCACTCCAACACACAAGATGGCTGCCCCCCTCTGGTCAAAGATGGCTACCCCCCTGTGGACACAAGATGGCCACTATAAGATGGCATCAGGGGAGGGCAGTTGCGGGGACCAGGCCTGTAGGGGAAGGCATTTGGGGCCAACCAGGCCTGCAGGGGAGGGCAGTGAGGGTTGACCAGACTGGGGTGAGGCATTTGGGGGCAACTAGGTCAGCAGGGGTGGGCAGTAAGGGGCAACCAAGCCAGCATAGTGAGGCAGTTGGGGCGGCCAAGCTGGCGGGGGGTGGGGGGTAAGGGGCAACCAGGATGGTGGGGAGGGAAGTTAGGGGTGAGCAGACAGGCAGGCATGTGAGCTGTTAGAAGCCAGTGGTACCAGAATGTGAGAGGGTTGTCCAACTGCCAGTTTAGCCCTGATCTCCAGGATCTGGCCTAAACTGGTAGTCGGACATCCACTGAGTAGGGGTCCTGGATTGGAGAGGGTGCTGGAAGGGTTGAGGGGACCCCTCCCCATGCACTAATTTTGTGCACCAGGCCTCTAGTTCTATATAAATTACTTAACCTCATGATTAGGAAATTTGAAGATAATCAAAACTTATATTTCTTTGAGGTTAAAACTTGTATTCCCTTCTTTCTTTTCTTTTTTATGTATTTTTTATTTTATTTTAAGAGAGAGAGGGAGGGAGAGAGAGATGAAACATGGATATGAGAATGAAACATTGATTGGCTGCTTCCTTCATGCCCTCTAACTAGGATTGAGCCTGAAACCTGGGCTTGTGCCCTGAATAGGAATCGAACCAGCAGCCTTTTGGTGCACACAACAGAGCCCAATCAACTGAGCCACACCAGCTAGTCCCTTTATTTCCTTTCCATTAGAGGACTGGAGGAGCTAGCTTCATATACACCTAAATCTGCTTGTTGGTTCCTTCATAAATAATAAGCTAGAAGCAATAAGTATAACACTTTTCAGATGAGAGTATATTTTCAGTTATACTTAAGCAGTCCAGGAATTTGGAAGCCAACACATTTTTAGGCAGAATTGCTGGAAGATTCTGCAACAGCTTTCAGCTCACTACATTGCTGTCTTTGGTATATTATTAGGGAGATTAACTTTAAGCACAAACTGGTTTAGCTCTGAGCGAGATGAGTGACCTTTTGTTTCCATTAGGGTAGTGAGTTTGCTATAAATCCCTAAGTGTTAAATTCTGGGGACCTAGAGATAAGCAGCTGCTGAGGGCTTTGCATTCTCTCCTGTTATCTGAAAACACCCACAGCACATACTATCAATACAAAACCTACCCACTTGAAGAAAGCTTTAAAGGCCTTTGCTAAATGTGAATTTATTCGGGGCATTACAAATGAGCTGTTTTCATAGATGGTTAGACCTGGAGCAGCCCTCAAGAGCTCATCCAGTTCAACTTCCCAACCTCATTGCTTTGTTCGTGTTATCTTAACAGATATGCATACCAGGTTCACTCCAGATCCAGCCTTCCCATATTTGACTAAGAGCTGTTTGCTATTCTTAATCACTTCATAGCATTCATTCCAATGCTACAGGAGAGTTTAAAGTACACACAATATGTTTTAGTTATATAAATTAAAAACAAAGACAAATTATTGACATACTACAAAACTATCCAACATGCTGGTTGAGTGCAAAATTTTAATGTATATTTAGACACAATTAAGTTTCCCGTAGGTTAAAATATATATACTCACCACCTATAATTCAAATATCAGGAAATATTGATCACGTTTTAGCCCAAACTATGAGTACAACATGATGTGAGTTTCAATCCCATGCTTCATCTATGCAAATGCAACTTCTGCTGAGGGAGGGCCCCAAAGGCAATTAATTGCTTCACTCAATAATACCCCCCCTTTGGGATTCACTGTCCAATGGAATGAAATGTGTGCATTAGCCCCCCCAAGCATTAGCCTTCCATTAGCACATGGAAGACCTTTATTGACAAATTTCCTTATCTATAACAAAGAATAGTAGTACAGACTCTCATTTATTTAAAAGGACTTGGGAAAGATTAAGTAAGCATTATCTTGAAAAGTTCTGAAAAGATTATTAAAAACCAATTAAATACAATATATGGAAAGACACAATGCCTTGACCCCTGTGAATGAGTGTACTAGTGCATGGTTAGTGATTCCGTCTTTGAAGTGAGAAGGGAGCGAGCCTTTTTTGAGGGAGTCACATCCTCATTTGAACCCCGCACTCCTTCACACCCCGAAATTAATCAGCATGCAGCAAATGTGCTCTCTAGTCAGAGTTAAAAATGTGGCAGCCTGCTGCGCCTGCCATCTTGACACAGCAATTACAGTGCAAGATCAAGACATTGTTATCAATCTCCGGATGCAGTTCCAGTTACAGCCCTCCTCAAAGAGAGTAAATCAGAGAGCAAAAGACAAGGAGACAACTGCACAGAGAGGACGGGGGCAAGGGAAAGCAGGGAACAGAGATAAAACAAAGCTCTAGAGAAGAATAAATGACAGAGGAAACAGGGCACCAAAAATTCACGGCTAAATCCCATTTTATTTTCAGCAGGAACCTTTGGCAGATTTGATTAGCATTAATAAATAAAGCCTAGCAGAACTTGGAAAGTAGAAAGGGAGCCTGAAATTTATTTTCCAGATTTGAGATGAGCATAAGGTGAGTTTCAAGGAAAAGTGTTAAGTAGGAATAGTCATTTGGGAACCTGCCAGTCCTTTGCATTTAATTTAACAACATGTGCAGAGTGTCCATTCAGTGTCCCATTTTATATAAAAGAATGGAAACTAGATACAGTCCTTACGTTAGGGGCAAAAATAGAATATTGGGGACTAGCTATAGTTATGGGAAATATTAATCATGCTCTGTTAACCATGTTTGCCTTGTGTTGGTTAAAGAAAGGGCATTCTGACCTGGATAGGAGTTGTATGCCCTTGGACCTGGGAGTCAACCTTGGACCTGGGAGTCAACCTTGGAACCTGTGTATTATCATGGAAAGATTAACAAACTTGTTGCCCAAACAGTGGAGCCTCCTACTTCCCTAAGCCTATATAGTTCCTGGTTTCCCATGTAATCCTGTCCTACCCTATATAAGCAGCTGGCTTATGGGGAGCTGCAGAACAGATTTTTTTGTGGATGACCTGCTGCTCTCCCAGACTGCCGTCAGTATTGGAATAAATGCTCATATGTGATTCAACCCTGTCTCTGCTTAATTGGCTCAAGTAGTGACAGGCAGCACAGACCCTTTGATTGTCTGGTTACACTTACTTCAAGGAGTTTAGAGTCTGAGGATATGGTGGTGTTAACATGAAAATATCCAAACCTGTAAGGAATTTTTGTGAGTTTATTTGAACCAAACTGCCAACAATTGCTGGGAAGCAAAATTTTAATGTATTTGAATGCACTCTAGAGAATGGTGATTTGTTTTTTTGGTTGTTGTTATGTCTTGTTGTTGTTTTTTTTAACCTATTTTTATACATTACAATCAAAGAAGGAGATGTAGGTGAGTTACATGAAATCCATTAGTGATAGGTTGAGAGGTGGGAGAAAACAAAGGTGGGGGGAGGGGCAACCTCTGGGATTGGATAAAGAGAAAAATGATAGACACATACTTCTTTTCCTTAAGTTGGAACAGGATAGATAACAGTCAACAATGAACACAATAACAATAAAAAATGAAGGGATTTGTGGTATCTGTCCTGGCACCCAGGGAATTTAGTTGTGCCCTGAGGGATCCAGAAAAAAGGGTGTTTACAAGTTCCTCTGACATCTCAAGAATATGTTATTGTAGATGCAAAAAGACAATAGACTCATCAGATAAGGTAAAGATTGACCTTGTCAGTGAAGATGCTGTCCTAGGATGTGACTACCTACCATAACTGCTTTTAAAATTTTAAGTTTAGACCATCCTTGTGGTTACTTTAGGTCTTAAGAGTTTGTAAGACTGCCATGTAGGCCTTCCCTGAGCTGTCAGATTAGCATGTGGCCCCTTTTGTACACAGTGGGAAACATTCATAAATAGTTAGAATGAAGTAAATCAGGTATCTACTTAAATTTGGGAACAGCTTTTTTTTTTTGTAGCTGACAAATTCAGAGGATGAAGTCCAGGGTCCCTCTCCTCCTGACTCAACACCAGAGATCCTTTTAACCATACTCTTCCATTACTCATTCTAATGCCCCATGCTCTAGAATTTTCTCCTTCCCAGTGCCCATGTCCAAGAACATTCCCAGAAATTCCTGCACAACCACTGCTGTCTGCTAAATAACTGTTTAAAAAAAACAAACCTCTGCAGTATAATCTAGAAATATAATCTAGAAAGTAAACATATAATCTAGGGATTAAACATATGGACTTTGGAGTCAGGCAGCCTGGAGTCAAATCACTGCATATTACTAGCTTTATGATTTGTCAAGTTACTCATTTTTTTAAAAGTATTATCTGTAAAATAAAGTTAATAATGGTATTATTTCATAGTATTATTGAAAGAATTAAATGAGCAGATAATAAACACCTAAAACATTAGGTATTCTTTTCTATTTTGGGGGTAGTATTAGTTTGCCTGGACTACCATAAAAAAAAAACAAAAAAAAAAACACACAGATTGAGTGGCTTAACTAACGGAAGTTTATTTTCTCACAGTTCTGGAGGCAGGAAGTACAAGATCAAAGTGCCAGCAGGGGGTTTCTCCTAAGGCCTGCCTCCTTGGCTTGTGGAAGGCCACCCTTTTGCCACTTTTCACAAGGTTTTCTTTGCACACACATAACCCTGGTATCTCTTTGATATCCTCTTCCAATAAGAATATTAGTCAGACTGGACTACAGCCTAAACACAAGACCTCATTTACAGTAATCATAATTGACTCCTTAAAGTTCCTATCTCCAAAAACAGTTACATTCTGAGGTAGTAGGGATTAACACTGCAACATAAGAATTTTGGGAGGAACACAATTCAGTCCATAATAGGAGTTATAAGATGCTTACAATAAAGTAAATTCATATGTACGCACATACACACACACACACACACACACACACACACTCACTTATGTTACTACCTCCTACAAGATGACATAGAAATCTTTCTATTTACCCAAAATACTCTATCATGTGCCTTATCAATCATTACCATCTTCTTTTCCTGAAATAACCACTATTTTGATATCTATCATAATAGACAGATTTTGTTTGTCTTTGAATTTCATATAAATGAAATAATACTGTGTGTACTTTTTTGTGTCTGGCCCCTTGTAGTCAGCAATCTATATATAAAAGCCTAATATGCAAATTGTCCCCTCAGGAGTTCAACCAGGAGACCAGGAGTTCCATCTATTGCTATGATGTGCGTCCACCACCAGGGCGTGGCACATAATGAAGAAAGGCCTTGGCCGAGAGCCAACAGCCAGGGAAGAGAGACCCCAGCACTAGAAGTAAGGCCCTAGTTGGCAGCCAGAAGCTGGCCAGACCTAGGGACCCTACCTGTGCCCAAATTTCAGGCACCAGGCCTCTGGTATATCTATAAAATCCACCTGTTTTGTTCCATGTTGCAGTAGCTTGTTCTTTTTAACTGCTATGTATCAATATACTACAATTAACTCATTCATCTAATGAAAGGCATTTGAATTATTTTCTGTTTGGGGATATTATGAGTAAATTTGCTATGCATAATCATACATTCTCTTATTGAACATATACATTCATTTCTCTTGAATAGGATTGATTATTGAGAGGTATACTGCGTAATTTACAAACAAATGAAATTTTCTAGGTATTTTTTTATTTATTTCTAGTTTAATTTCAATGCCATTGGAAAACATATGTTAAATTATTTCAATCCTTTGACATTTGTTGATATTTGCTTTGATACCTGGAAATGTATGGTCTTTATATAAATAAATATATGGCCTTTTTATAAATATTCTATGTTCACTTAAAAAGAATGTCTAGCTCAGTGGATAGAGCATCAGCCTGTGGACTAAAGGGTCCCAGGTTCGATTCCGGCCAAGGGCATGAAACCTTGGTTCTAGGCACATTCCCAGTGGGAAGTGTGCAAAAGGCAGCTGATCAATGTTTTTCTCCCATCGATGTTTCTAACTTTCTATCACTCTCACTTCCTCTCTGTAAAAAATAAATAAAATATATATATTTTTAAAAAAGAATAGTCTGCAATTGCACAGTACAATGTTATATAACTGCAATTAGTTCCAATTAAGTCAAGTTAGTTCCTCTTTTTTCATATCTTATATGTATTTCCTCATTTTTTATTATCAAAGTGTCTAGTTAATTATGCTTTTTCTATTTCCATTTTATTAACCTTATTTATATATTTTAAAACTGTGGTAGTAGATCAGATAATTTGGGCTATTACATGTTCCTACTGAATTGACTTTTTTTCATTACAAAATGTAGCACTATCTTTGGCAATATTTTCCTATGAAACTATTCTATTTTATGTTACTAAAGACATACCTACTTTATTTTGGTTAATATGTTAATGGTACAGTTTTTAATACTTTATTGTTTTGAATATGTTTTTACTGATTTCATAGAGAGGAAGAGGCAGAGGGAGAAAGAAACATCAATAATGAGAAAGAGTCATTGATTGGCTGCCTCCTGCACATTCCCCTTCAGGGCTGAAGCCCAAAACTCAGGCATGTGCCCTGCTGGGGAATGGAACTTTGACCTCCTGGTTCATGGGTCAATATTCAATCACTAAGTCACACCTGCTGGGCAATACTTTTGCTTTCAATATTTCTTCCTGAAAGTATTTAAAGTGTTTTTCCTATAAGTTTATGTAATTATCTTATTAGCCAACATGACCACCTTTTTTAAGTGGAGTATTTAGTCTAGATGAATTTCAATTAATTACTCATATACTTGGGAGGTAGGGGAAAAGGTGGAGAGTATTGGGCAATATCTGTAATACTATCAACAATAAAAAATATATTTAAGGAAAAACAAATTGAACACAAAACACTGCTACATGTTCAACTGTAGTCAGATATTTTATTAATCAAAATGGTAGTGAATATACTCCTCCAAAAATTTAATTAAATAGGTAATTCTCAAGATAAGAATAAATCTTTATTTAGACTTTCATATTTATATGTGACTCAAATGAGAAGTAATTTTCATTTTTTAGGTATTAGAAAATAATACAGAATTTCTGATCAGGTAATATGATTTTCTATGGAACTGAATCATTTCCTTTTAAAAGAATAGATGCTGAACACAATAAAAAAATTTTGATTTCACAACAGTGCTTGTAACAAAGGAAAAAAAGTCTCAAGGTGCAAAAAACAAATAGTGTACTGAAAATGAAGGTAATAAACATGTGAACTTATGGTGCTGCTGCCCAAGGGGCTGTTATTATTCTGAGTTCTGGTGGGACTTTTATAAAGCTTGTGGAAAAAGAGTCGGTAGGACTGTGAGCCCCTACAAATAGGAGCTAAAAATGAGACTCCTACATAAAACTAGGATCTCAAAAGGCTAAAATCTCAGCAAAAAAGAAGATTATGGCAAAGTTTACACATAAACACAGGGAATTGAAAAGAAAGTTTACCACTCTAGATAGGAAACAAGTATCCCTTGAAAATTTGAAGAGCTGAGTTTGGAAAGTCTTGCATATTTAAATAATGAAATAAAAATACCTTTGAAATTATAGTTCATAATCTGAAAAGCAACACAAAATAAATATGGATAATATTTGATAAGAAAAATAGAAAAAATAAGTTAAAATTGATAAAAATTTGAGTAAGGACCAATTAGAACTTCTATAAATAGAATTGAATAACTGGGAGACAGATTTGATACATTATAGATAATTCTTAATGTCCATGAAAGATAGATTAAAGCAAATACTGCAAAAAGATAGATCACATACAAATGGATAAGTAAAGTGATTGAAACATTTTACTTTTGCTTCCAAA